TGACGAAACATTTTAAAGTATTTCAACTTCCTTGCCCCGATTAAACTTTTAAAAATTGAAATCTGGTTAACAGAGTTTTTTTTTTCTTTTCAAGTCTTTAACTATTCACTAAAAATAAAATGACTCAATTTGCCTTTAGGGGGCATTTGGTTGACGGTAATATGAGATGATAGAGGTTATGTCATCTTATATTACTTGATTATCACGTTTAATTGTCTAGTAATATAGGATTTCGCTAATCTTTAAATACTAATAGTAGTTACTATTGATAATATTGGAAGTAATCTAATTACCTCAATTTTTTTAGGTATTATAAGATTACCAGGGTTATCTTGTTACAATTTTATCCCTTATTAATAAAAGTTTTGGACAATAATGCCCTCATTTTAAAATAAATTTACATTAATGTCATATTTCAATTTTACCCTTATTTAATTAAAATTTTGGACAATAATGTCCTTATATTTAAAACAATTTACAGACCACCACTGCCATCCAACCGCCACCACTGCCAATAGCTGGCCAACTACCACGGACCGTCACCGAAAATTCGTCGGAGTCCCTAAAAAAGAACGAGATTCGATGGGAGGCTCCAGAAGGCTTCGATATGATTGTTTTCGACCATATTGATGACCGAAAACAGCCAGATCTGGCCGGTAACAGCCACATCCCTGGCCATTAATAGCCAGATTTGGGTGAGATCTGGCTGTTAACGGCCAGATCTATTTCGGTCGGAATAGATATATCTCGCCCAGATCTAGCCATTAACGGCCAAATCCATCGATTTGGCCGGAAATGGCCATAATAGTCTGGCCTGATATAGCCGTTTTCGGCCATCAATATGGCCAAAAACGGCCATATCGGAGCCTTTTGGTCACGGCGAGCTACTGACGGGGACTTTCGGAGACTTCCGGCCATAGTTTGCAGCGGCGGCAGGAGGTATGGGTGATTTCATAATAAATTAAAGTTTTATATAAGCGGGGGTGTTTTAACTAAATCTGAAATATTGGGGTTAAAAGAAATTATTCAAAAATTAATAATAAAAATAATATTACATTAATATTTGAAAGCGGGACAATTTAGCAATTTAAATAATATACCCACCAATTTATTCCTCATAACCAAACATATTAATATAACATACCCACCAACTAACCAAACACATTTTTCTAAAGATTCCTAGTAATCTTCCAAGGTAATCTATCTTTTCAGTTATCTAACATTCTTGAACCAAACACCCCTTTAGATGTGTTTTCCGAGTAGCGCTCGTCAATATTGTGGTGTTTATCGGTATTTGAAAAGGGAAGACAATTAAGACTGTTTGGCACATTTTTTGAATTGGATTTCTAAAATTTTATACTCTAAATAGGATATGATAGGATAGTATAAGCAGCTGAAAATATTTAAATTAGAGTGTGTTTGATATATTATTGGAAAACATTTTTTTGAAAATATTTAGATTATTTTTTAACCCTTACATTTGTTAATTTTGTTAAACATCCCCACAATAAAAGTTTACAACCGGTCGATTGCCCACAGCTAATCACCACAGCCGGATGGTGGCTGTTAGTTGTTGAAATGGTGTATGACAGGCTGGATTTGGCTGATCGTACACCGATCATGCCTTTTCCGACCAAATCTACTATGTATCTAGTCAAAATCGGTCAGATCTACAACCATAATCTGGCTGTCATTAACGACTAAAATCTGGCTGTAGATTTGGTTGGAAACGACTAGATCTGGATGATCGTGTATCGTTTTGGTGTCGACAATGCTTGGGAGGGTGAGACTATTTTTGTTAATTTATAAATTTTTATTGTGAAAAGTAATTATTAAATATTTTAAATTGAATATAATAATATTGGATTTTGAATTGGATAAAAAATATTAAAACAAACATGTTTTTTACTGTTTAGGATAAAATAATAGATCATAATGAAGTACGAAAAGTTAAACAAACACGGGGAAGTTGATTTTTCATAACCATACGGGCCAGACCCCAGGGTAATTTATAATTACCGACTTATGTAATTATTGCCCTGAACTAGCAGTGCCGGCCGACCAGCAGGCCCAACGGCACTCACTCATCTTGCATGGAGCCAAATTCTTGGACCCAGCGGCCCAAATAAAATATAAAATTTTAAGATTTTGGTAAAAAAGGAAAAGTTATTTAATATTTAAAAGAAATATATGAAAATGTAATATTACGGATTCGTTTAAAGAATACATTTTATTTTATTTTTCAATTATATGATATGAATATTATTAATGTTATTACTGGATTAGTTTATTTAATAAAATAAAACTCCATTTAAATAAATTAATTAGCTATTTATGTTTTTTAAGCATGTACTTGAAGAATAATCCATTTATTAATCATAAACCAAAAAATGTTTAAATTTTTGCGATAAAGGATAACATCTCAGTACGGTTAGTTTTGTGGGCTTATACCCATGAGCTTGTCCAAAATCAAATTCGGGAATATACAAAAAGCAAGCCACTAAGACCTGGGGATTTATGAATTTGTAATTAAGATTGTGCATTAATGATATGAGCTTGAGAATAATTTTTGAAAAAGGTTTTTTGTGGATGTCTAAACTCTCACCCAGGCTAACATAAATGATCAACAGATGGGGCGGGTTAGCATTCAGCGATGAAAATCTATCCGAATAATGTTGAGGCTTGGCCTTTGGCATCGTTTCATCCGGGGAACAGTTTTGTTTTGAGTGTGGCAGGCTAGCCATGTGGAGCTCATTTCGAGATGCTTTCTATCTTTACCTTTTTCTGTATTGGGAGAACGATTTACACATACCCAAGGTTTATCAACGACAAGTTGGTATCCAAAAGGTTTTGAAATGACAAATAGATACTTTCCGTCATGTTCTGTTATGATTTCTGTTTATTACTGTTATTAATAGTGAAAAGACTAAAATGCCCTTAAAAGTTTGAATTTTAGTTTTTTATAAATTTAAAAATTTCAAAAAACCCCCTAAGTTTACAAATTTAACTAAATCCCCATATATAAAAATTTTATAAAAAACAAAACACCCCCCACCCACAAGTGCCAATTCCGGCCACCACCACCGGAATCTGGTCGGAAAGTTGCGTTACGACACAGACCCGTCGGATCTGTGTCGTAACGCGTCGATCTGCCTTTTCCGGCCAGATCCGTGGCTGATCTGGCCGGAAAAGGCCAGATCTACGGCTAGATCTGGCCGTCGATGCCGCAAAACTCCATCTGCACGTCGAATGCCAGATCTGGTAGTAGATCTAGCCTTTTCCGGCCAGATCAGCCACGGATCTGGCCGAAAAGGCCAGATCTGGCTGCTGCTTCGCGGCCAGATCTTGCCTTTTCCGGCCAGATCCGTGGCGGATCTGACCGAAAAATGCCAATCGGCACGTTACACACAATCCGACGGATCTGTGTCGTAATGCAGTTTTCCGGCCAGATTTCGGCGATGGTGGTGTTTTTTGTCATTTACAAACTTTTTATATGGGGGTGTTTAATTAAATTAGCAAACCTAGGGGGTTTTTTAGAAATTTTTAAATTTAAAAAAACAAAATTGAAACTTTGAAGGGCATTTTAGTCTTTTCACTATTAATAACAAAAATCACTAACAGAACATGACTGAAGGTACCTATTTATCATTTCAAAATCTTTTAGGTACCAACTTGTCGTTACGATAAACTTTGGGTATGCACAAATCGTTCGGCCTTCTGTATTTTATTCAATAACATTTTTATTCTTGTCTGAAGTTGATTATACAGTCTGAAGTGGTTTGTTCGTTCTCTAAATTATGCTACTAATTCTTTTTTAATCTACAATAATTTGTTCAGTGATCGACCTTTGATATTAGGATAATCAAAGCTTCGGGGTCAGGTGCCCTTATATCGTTGGCTGGTAGCAAGTGGAACTGGTGATTTGGGTTTTTTTTTTTTTTTTTTTTAATAATTTGAAGGTATTATTACATGGAGAAGTTGAAGTCAGTAAATGAAAGAGTAATGCTACATTTACACCACCTATTACACTATTTTTATTACACCATGATGTGGCATATCTCACATCCACACAAATTTTTAATTATTTTAAATTTTTAATATTATAATAAAATAATTATTAGTAAAATGATGATGATGTAATGAAAATGATGTAATACGCGGTGTAAATATAACATTACTCGTAAATGAAATTGATTCATCCTTATTGCAAAACTCGTCGTCTACTAAAATTTTTATCGATAGAGGATCTTTTCATCTTTATTCGGGAACTTCATCTCTCATCCATCCAATAAATTAATATTAGAAAAAAATAAAAAAACAAAAACTGATATTTGATATCTAGATTTTCTAAAACCGCGATAAAGTATTTATTGAAATGATTAAGTCTAACATTTGTCGTATGGTAAAGAAACAAGTGTGTTTATCTTGAAAGAATCGGAATCTGTGGTATATATTGAAGGTATTACTTCATGTTTCCAATCAAGACAACCGTAACTAAGTTTTTGTCTCCGTTTTGTAATAATTGAAAGGGATTGAGGGTACGTCATCCCAAGCCCTAAACCAAAACCAAAACCCTAGAATTACAAATATAAAGAGCAAAGACGACCTTCTGCAAGTGCTAGGTATCTTTCAACAGTTTTTTGTATTGCATATAGCTAGATAGATACTTGCCGAAAAGCAAGCACCGCAATTTACACACAGACCTGGAATAGCCAGTCGGCGTGGTACCACCCCTTAGAAATCGGCTTTCTTTTTTTTAACTTCAAAAAGCCTTAAACTTCTCACTTTCTCTCTCTCCCCATCTAAACTCCATCGATGCCTGCAGCAATGTCATTATTGGGCACCGTCTTGCTTCGCTCGACACTCGAGACAATAAAATAAATCTCTTTTAATTCCTCCAAGTAAAGTTCTTTTTTTTTTTCTTTTTAATTTTCTCATTATATTTTCTAGAAAAGAGCTTAGATAGAAGTGGAGAGAGTGAGTTCTAGGATAAACCAGAAATGAAGGTCAAGAAAAAAGGTGTAATGTACTCATCCTCATCACCGTCTTCGTATAAAGATCCTCACACTGTGTTAAAGCTCCTACCTTTAACCATACTAGCCTTAGCCTCAACTCTTCCTGCCCAAGACCAAGAAGTCATAGCTTACATGATAACAAGGTCCATTGCCACCCCAAAAAATCCATCTTCGGAGAAGAATAAATGCAAGAGAAAACCCAGTCAAAAGAACCCTCTTTTTGAATGTGGGTGTTTCGGTTGTTACACTAGCTATTGGTACAGATGGGATTCTTCTCCAAACAGAGACCTCATTCACCAAGTCATTGAAGCTTTTGAAGACCATTTGGTGCATAAAGAGTCTCCAAAGAAACAAAATAAAGGTAAAAAGAAAGATAAGCTATTCTTGGATCAGTTTGAGTCCAACATATCGTTTACTGTACCAAAGAAAGAGCTTGGAAACACTGAGATATCGATGCCAGATACTAAGAGTAGATATGCGGAGGAACATAATAAAGAACATTGTGCAGAAGAAGAAGAGAGTATGGTGGGTGCGGTGAACGGGAACATGGAAATGAAGGTGGTGACCGTACAAGTAGTACAAGTGCCAGTGAGTAGCCACAGGGGTTTGGCCAGGAAAGTTTTACCAGATGTTGTAGGTTTACTGAACTCTTGTCTTTGGAATCTTTGGAGTAGTGCGAGTATCTAGGTCAAAAAATTTCTGGTCACCGAGAAAAGCTTTTGTTTTCTCGAGAGAGAAACAGCTTCTTGTTAACTTGTTATGTTGGGTTCTGGCAGGAAGTCATTAACAGTTGCTAGCCAGTAGGATTTGATTAATTTTGATTAAATTTTGGCTTATTTTGAATTAAGTAAAAGTAGATTGGCTGTATCATACTGGCTTAAAGTAGATTAGGTGATAATTGTGAGCAGCTTATATATATGAACTAAATTAGTTTCATACGTATTCTCATGGTCATGGTTACAGTTAATTAGCAGTGCTGATTCTAATTTCTGTTCAGGAAATTTTCATTCTCTGGACCATTTTTTTATTCGGCACAAAAATTAGTTTTCATGACCTGACTAGGTACAATATGATGATGGTTAAGTTGTATTTTGAGGCTAATAATTGAAGTCAAACTGATTCATTGATTGGTGGTATTTTAGAGGTGGAACAAATGGGCCAGCGGGTCAAACCTAACCCCGCCCACCTCAACACGGATTTAACCCGGCTGGGGTCTATCCCATCGAGCGGTTGGGCCTTCATAGGCCAACCCGATGACCCGACGGGTTATTATTATTATTTTTTAAAACCCATCCAACCTGTCGGGTTGGGGGTTTTCAACCTGCAGGTCAACCCAACGAGTTAGCCATTGGCAACCCGGTGGGTTGGACAAAAAAGATAAAAAATTAAAATTAAATTAATTTTTTTTTTTGTAAAAACACAGTTGACCCTTGAAATATAGCCGTTTTATAGTAATAGGAGAGGTCTTTTTGACCAATTTTTTTTTTCTATAAATAGGGCATAGACTCTCATATCCCAAATTCTCTCATTTTCTCTATTGAAATATCTCAATTTCTTTGTTGTCAATTTGCTCTCATTTTAATTGTTATTAGTTTTGCAATTTTCAATTCATATTTCAAAATTCCAATTCTCCTTCTTTAATTTTTTTTTTCTTTTATATTCATTTTTTTTTTTTAACTAGAATGGATAGATATTTCCATCCTATCAATTTCAATGATGAAGAAAATTATCCTAGTCCCCCTAAATTTACTAACATAAATGCAGTAGATTCAAACAGTCTCATTTTCCCATTCTCAGAATCCGATACATCTTATAATATTTCCCCCTTCCTCCCCATGTTGCTATAGCTCCCGGTGGTTCTAGAAGTAGTCCTCGTAATCATCGTCCTTGTCCAACTCCATCTCAAGCAAAAGCGAGTTCATCAACTGCAGTTGGAACCAACGACAGATACACATTAAACGTTTTGGTGCATTTCAAAAAGTTTTATGAGACAAAAAATGAAGTTCAAGTGAAGAAAACAAGATACAAGTATTGTGGAAATATTTGTAAAGTTGATGCAGGTAATGATACTAGTATTTTAAAAAGACATGCTAGTAAACATATGAATCAACATAGAAATAGAGAAACCAATCAAACTCAAATAACTAATATGGGCACTATTTGACGTTATAATTCTGATGTATATAGGGAACAATTAACTTTATATATTGCTACAACTGATCAACCTATTAATATGATTGAAGATAAATATTTTGAAAGATTCATTAAAGATTCATTTTTTCCAGGATTTAAAAGTTATTATAAAACTGCAACTAGAAATGATTTAATAAAATTGTTTGGGAAAATGAAATTAGAATTAAGAAATAAAATACATAGTTGTCATGTTAATATGAGTCTAACCACCGATATTTGGAGTATAGTTGAGCTAAACAAGATTATATTTGTGTGACTAGTCATTATTTTGATAACGAATGTTAATTAAATAAATCTTTATTGTGATTTAGATTAATGGATATGAATTATAGTAGTCAACAAATTTATAATAAAATTGTTGAAGTTTTAGAAGATTATGATATTGTTTACAAAGTGATAAGTTTAACTTTACATACTGCAAGTGCTAATAGTATAGCTATAAAAAATTTTAAAAGTAATTTTATTTTTTATGACAATTTGAAATTTTTTCACCAACGCTGTATATGTCACATTATTGATTTAACTGTGAAAAGTGGTATGAAAAAAATTAGAAATAATATTGATAGAATTAGAGATTCTTTAGCTTTGATTACTAGTAGTAATAGAAGAAATGCTGAATTTTAATATGCTTGTATAAAATTAAATATGTCTTCTAGAATTTTTGTATTAGACATGTCTGTTAGATGGAATAGTACTTATTTAATGTTTGATTCATGTTTACCTTATACAAAATTAATTAGTTATTTTATAGCAAATAATAGGGGTCCTCATTATTTGATAGATAGTGATTGGCATATAACTAAAAAAATTCATTATTTTCTTAATTTTTTTTATCAATCCATTTTAAAACTTTCTAGTGTGTATTATCTTACTAGTCCATTGGTAATACATACAAGAGTAAACGACATATTCCCACCCAAGGTTTGACGAAATCCCAAGTTAGTACTATTGGTTCCATTTATTCCAGATTCCCACCCTTAAAGTAACAGTGTTATGAATTTTTAGGGTTTAGAGGGTGCAATTACCATAATGCCCTTAACCCTAAATTAATAAATTATGTTTTAACCCCTAAATTAGTAGAATTATAAAACTTACCATTTTATTTTCAAATTATATCAAAAACACTCTCGGTCACTATACACTCTCGCTGGAAACAGCCCGATCTGGGCTATTTCCGATGACGTCGAACCCCCTAGTCACCTCCATCACCTTTCCTGTAGTCCGTCATCCAAAACCCCTCTGGTTCTCGACTCATTTGCCTCTCCAATCACCGGCATCGTTAGGCTTAGGGTTTCGGTGTTCTTCACCAGATTCTGGTCGATTCCGGCGATGAAAATCCAATTGGACACCACCAATGCAACCATCGTCCCCAAATCTATAAAACCCCTTATGTCCCCAGCAACCGTTTCGTCATCATTCGCCAACCGAGAGTTCATGTTCATCGATCGTTTTTGGTTGCTGTGGCCGGAGATTGGCAAGTGATGAGGGGTTGTGAATGGTATGGTTTTGTAGAGGAGAGGATGGGGGTTCAAATGGTGGTGACAAGGGTGATTTTAGGTGGAAGAATCGTCGAAAAAGAGCAAAAAACATCGGGAACAACGGCTGTTAATGTGCGCCGGAGGACTGTTAGAGGCGGTGGTCTGCTAACGTGCGCCGCCCATGTAAAATGACCAATTTACCCCTTTACCGTTACATCAAACGTTTTTCCATCACTTTAAGGGTGGGAATCTGGAATAAATGGAACCAATGATACTAACTTGGGATTTCGTCAAACCTTGGGTGGGAATATGTCGTTTACTCTACATACAATTATAAAAATTTCAGATTTATTTAAAAAAAAAAACAGAAACAACGTAATTTTAGCGAGACCAATAGAGGCAATAAAATTAAAATTTAAAAAATATTGGAAACTTATTATTATTATTATTTTTTGTTTAGCTGTCATATTTTATCTTAGAATTAAATTAGATGGTTTAGAAAATGGTTTAGACACGTTAAGTGAAAATTTACGAGACGAAGTATATACCAATCGACTAAGAGAGATAAGACAGTGTCTTGCAGAGGTATATTTGCAATATAAAAACAAGTATGGGAACCAGCGAAGAGGCGAATACTTGAGGAAGAGCATCAGAAGACACAAATGAAGACTTCGACTCTTGGAGTGCACTTAATAGGCCGAACAGGACACGAACTAGAAGCATAGCCTCCTCTTCAGAAGCATCAACAACAAATATATTGTCCTACATGCAACTACCAAGTAATGAACTTCACCAATATCTGGTAACCCTCGATGTGCTACCAGCAAATTCACAACAAAGAGCCAACTTTGATGTCTTAGATTAATATTAGAAAACCAGAAAATATATTTTTCCGGTATTATCAAGATTTGCCCTGAATGTTTTCTCTGTTCCCGTCTCAACTGTCTCATCCGAACAAACATTTAGTGCAAGTGGAAGAATTTTAAATGACAGGAGAACTAAACTTTCACGAAAATTGATTGAAGTCCTCACATATCTTGGAGATTGGGAATGGTCACGTTATCAAGATCAATATAAGGTTGTCGACGATACTTTAATAGAATTATTTCAATTTTATAATTTAGATGACACAGATGAGGGAGGTCCTAGTCAACTCTAAAATTAGTTGTTTTATAAAATGTAACTTTATAATTTGTAAATTAACTGTGAATTATTACACTTTTTTTTCCTTACTAAGTTTTTGTTCTAATTGGATTTTTCTTGGGAAGATTTTTAATAAGGCAATAATTGTTGTAATTTCTTATTTTATTTTTTGATAAATGAATAAATCTAATTTTTGTTATATTACAATTTAATTGCATTAAAATTGAATTAATATTAGAAATATTAACAAAAAATAATAATTTAATTTAATTATTGATATTTAAAAAGTTAGTTAAAAAAATTAGAGAAAAGAAAAAAAATTAAAAAATTTATTTTGAAATTCAAAAGAATCTCAACTCAGTTGATGTGAGGGTTTTCTAAGTTTCTTAGATCCACTCACGGAATGATTAAGTGAATAATTCATCTCAGATGGGCAAAAATTTTTAAATACCTCATTAATGGTACGTACGTTTATGCAAGCAGATTTGAAAAAGGTCGTTACTCCTGCAGTAGATGAATGGCAGTTAATCAGAGTATTCAATGAAGGGATGACCAAATTTTATAAAAGAAGGTATGTAATTGGGAGTTGATGATGCATATGGTAGATAGCATGTTTGTGATAGATATGAAAACATGAAAGCATTATCCGGAGAGTTTTGACTTTTGTCCTGTAATTTTAGGGTTTTTTGTTTTTCCTAATGGTTCTGTCGCTTTTGTTTGCCACGCCCAGAGCACGAGTCTCTGAGCTGTACTACTGTCTCTTAAATAATTACACTGCACGTATCACGCTTTCAACTCCAACTCCCAATAGTCTGCCTGCCTACATTCACCCTGCCCCTCCCTCATCATTAATTAATGTATATTACGGTTATT